CGGGCCGTCGTGGCCCAAGAGGGTTGCATTTCTAGGCACCGCGCCCGGTCCACGTGGGCATGTTGGGTGCATATTATGCTTGTCTTGGCTTACGTTGGGCCACATGGGCGGGCCGTCGTGGGCCAAGAGGGTTGCATTTCTAGGCACCGCGCCTACGTTGGGCTACATGGGCGGGCCGTCGTGGCCCAAGAGGGTTGCATTTGTTGTTGTTTTCGTTGTTGTCGTTGTCGTTGTCGTTGTCGTTGTCGTTGTCGTTGTCGTTGTCGTTGTTGTCGTTGTTGTCGTCGTTGTTGTTGTTGTTGTTGTTGTTGTTGTTGTTGTTGTTGTTGTTGTTGTTGTTGTTGGTTGTTGTTGTTGTTGTTGTTGTTGTTGTTGTTGTTGTTGTTGTTGTTGTGGTTGTTGTTGTTGTTGTTGTTGTTGTTGCCGTTGTTGTTGTTCATGGGCGGGCCGTTGTAGCCCAAGAGGGTTGCATTTCTAGGCACCGCGCCTGGTCCAGGTGGGCATGTTGGGTGCATCCTCGGGAGCCACAAATCATTGGAAAAACACAGTGAATCGCGACTTTCTTATCTTTTCGCGCATCTACCTCTTCTTTCTTCTGATCTTGTCTCTTCTGACTCTTCTCACCTCTGCTTTTCAACTGTCCATATTGTCGGAAGTTTCACTTCTAAACTTCCTTCGGATACATAATGGGCTTGTCTTGGCTTACGTTGGGCCACATGGGCGGGCCGTCGTGGCCCAAGAGGGTGGCGGGCCAAAATATAGCACCAGTTTTTGCCGAAACGGGGCCTTACTAAAGACTATTTGGCGCCCCGGCGGGCTAAAATAGTACAAGTTTTTGCCAAAACAGGACCTCACTACAGACTATCTGCCGCCCCGGCGGGCCCAAATAGCACCAGTCGCGCCAAAAACTCGTACCTAAAGACTGTTTGGCGCCCCGGCGGGCCAAAATAGTACCAGTTTTTGCCACAACAGGACCTCACTACACACTATCTGCCGCCCGGCGGGCCCAAATAGCACCAGTCGCGCCAAAAACTCGTACCTAAAGACTGTTTGGCGCCCCGGCGGGCCAAAATAGTACCAGTTTTTGCCACAACAGGACCTTACGTTGGGCCACATGGGCGGGCCGTCGTGGGCCAAGAGGGTTGCATTTCTAGGCACCGCGCCTACGTTGGGCTACATGGGCGGGCCGTCGTGGCCCAAGAGGGTTGCATTTGTTGTTGTTTTCGTTGTTGTCGTTGTCGTTGTCGTTGTCGTTGTCGTTGTCGTTGTCGTTGTCGTTGTCGTTGTCGTTGTCGTTGTCGTTGTCGTTGTCGTTGTCGTTGTTGTTGTTGTTGTTGTTGCCGTTGTTGTTGTTCATGGGCGGGCCGATGTAGCCCAAGAGGGTTGCATTTCTAGGCACCGCGCCTGGTCCAGGTGGGCATGTTGGGTGCATCCTCGGGAGCCACAAATCATTGGAAAAACACAGTGAATCGCGACTTTCTTATCTTTTCGCGCATCTACCTCTTCTTTCTTCTGATCTTGTCTCTTCCGACTCTTCTCACCTCTGCTTTTCAACTGTCCATATTGTCGGAAGTTTCACTTCTAAACTTCCTTCGAATACATAATGGGCTTGTCTTGGCTTACGTTGGGCCACATGGGCGGGCCGTCGTGGCCCAAGAGGGTGGCGGGCCAAAATATAGCACCAGTTTTTGCCGAAACGGGGCCTTACTAAAGACTGTTTGGCGCCCCGGCGGGCTAAAATAGTACAAGTTTTTGCCAAAACAGGACCTCACTACAGACTATCTGCCGCCCCGGCGGGCCCAAATAGCACCAGTCGCGCCAAAAACTCGTACCTAAAGACTGTTTGCCGCCCCGGCGGGCCAAAATAGTACCAGTTTTTGCCACAACAGGACCTCACTACACACTATCTGCCGCCCCGGCGGGCCAAAATAGCAGCAGCTTTTGCCGAAACAGGGCCTTACTACAGACTAGTCAAACAACAGTTCTGCAGAAACAAGGACTCACTACAGACTATTGGCCGGCGCCGCCGGCGCAGTTAGGCAAAGTATCTTGCAGAGAAGGCCTCCCTGAAATATCTTACCAAAAAAAAAAGCGCGCCTTCGGCGCGCCACTACAGCTCCTGATACTCACACATATACCATTTTTTTCGTCGCGCGCGCTCAAACCGCTTGATTTCAAAAAAATTGTCTTCTTAGATCGGTTTTTTGGGCGTTCGCATTTTTTCGCGCCTTCGGCGCGCCGCTACAGCTCCTGATACACACATATACCATTTTTTTCTTCGCGCGCGTTCAAACCACTTAATTTCAAAACACATCGTCTTCTTTGATCCTTTTTTTTGGGCGTTTGCATTTTTTTTTGGCGCAGCTTCGGGTTAAAAACCATGCTTTTTGCCTCTGTTTTCTATTATCGCAAAAACGCTTCAACAAGCAAAACCTTCAAAAAACAATGTCGTTGTCTGCATTTGCGGGCCCCCTCGCGCCGACGTGACCAAAAGCTATGGCAAAAAGTCCAAAAGAAAAATGGAGCGATAGTTTCCCCCGTCATTATCCCTTGAAAATGTGCCCCCTAGCCTCCATCCTATGCCGTTCCTTTGTTTTGTCTCTTTGCCGCGCGTTTTCTGGCCTGCCCCTCCTGCTCCAACCGGCTGCGGCTCCACGTAGCATCCGGTGCCTGCCCCCGAAGCTGTTTACATGTGTTTACACCTTCGGCCTGTGTCGGTTTACCGCCTGTTGAGATCCACTTATACTGTGAAAAACCTGCTTTGCCCGCTTTGTAGGAACATTAGTCATGTTGGAGGCATTTTGGACCTAGATCACCTAGATTGACGACATGAGATTCAGGCTCAACTCTGTGGGGGTTGTCATCTCCGGGCCTGGCCTTTCTTACACAGGTTCTGCACTTAGCAGCTGTACTGTGGCAAGCGGATGTGTGCCACAAGTTTTTTTCTGCAGACCTTTGCTGGTGTATTCAGCTCGCCGCATTATTCACATATAGAAAATCTTCTGTCGTTATCATTGTTGTTGCTGCCCTATGACGGACCGAACGTTTCCTTCCCCAGCCATGACTCAATTCTGAGGAAGAAGCAACACGGCACCAAAATGTTGGCGTCCCTGCTGCAGGCCCTGCTCTGTGAAACGTTTTGTGACGCAGTTTCATTCCGACGAAGTCGTGTGTGTGTGAGTTTTGTTGTGGTTGTTGCATTCTAGTTACTGTTCTTGTTGCTGTGATGACTGTTGTTGTGGTATGTTGCCGTTGTTTCCCGGTGCTTCAGGTGGTGCCTGTCCTTCATGTTTCGGACCTCGTCCCTTTGGTATCCCTCCTGCAGCTTCTTGCGGCTGCAAAATTTTCGCCTGAGACCGCGATGTTCCAAACCATACGGGCCCAGTTGCAGGCCAGAGCCAACCACATGACAGAAAGTCTTCACATGGCCGTGCTCTCGGGTGCATATTGTCCTGCTATCAATCGCACTGCCTGTGCTGTGCTTCGCTTCGAAGCTTTTGACTGTCGCTTCGACCATCGCTTGGAAGATGTGCTGCCGTGCTTTCGTGGCGCCCTTGATGCCTACGAGCCAGGTGACACGTCTCCAACGGAACTCGTGGAGCGTTTCAAAGCTTACAATGCGCACGCTCCGGAGCTCGTGGCGGTCTTGGCGTTCCTGTCGGAGACTACCGCTGCTTCGGGACATTGGCTTTGCCCTCCAGGGTCGCGCGGGCGCGAATACTTCATCATCCAATTTGCGTACCGCAACCTACGTGCAGCTCTCGTGTTCGAAGCTCCGCCGCGCCAAGTGATTGTGCTCGACTAGACTTGACTTCGTTCTCGGAGAGATGAGTGCCTCGATACATGTTTTTCTTTGTGGCAAAAGACGCGAGCTGCTGATTCACAGTTTCATGTGTGTCCATGCTAAACTGCAGTTGGTTGCTGTATTTCGTTGTCGGCTGCACCCCGTTTGTATTGTGTTTGTGGCTGCACTGTCGCACTGCTGCTTTCCGCTGCACATGCCCGCGCGAACCTTCCATGCGGGCAGCTGAGGTGATTTTTGCAGAGAAAGACTCAACTCCGGCATCAACTCAACACATGTCTGTTAGTGGAACTGAGGTCAAAACCCTGTCTACACTGCAGGTCTTGGCCCTAGCTTTCCTGTCTTACAGGGGTTTGGCTTGAAACAGCTGCGCCTGATACACCGCGGGTTTTCCTGCCGACCACTTGCTCCATGCCGGCTTTGTGAACTCAGGTCGCTGCTGCTTCCGCTTGTCTTGCGCTTAGCTGAGCTGTCCTGTCTTGCACAGTTTTCGCTTCGCGATGTTGCGTATCATAAACCCCGAGTTTTTCAACAGACGCAGATCTTGCTGCGCTCTGTGTGATTGTGAACTCGTGATTGTGAACTCAGGTCCATTCCTTGCATTTTGCGGCGACCATTCTTTGTTGCTGCTTCCGCTTGTCTTGCGCTTAGCTGAGCTGTCCTGTCTTGCACAGTTTTCGCTTCGCGATGTTGCGTATCATAAACCCCGAGTTTTTCAACAGACGCAGATCTTGCTGCGCTCTGTGTGATTGTGAACTCGTGATTGTGAACTCAGGTCCATTCCTTGCATTTTGCGGCGACCATTCTTTGTTGCTGCTTCCGCTTGTCTTGCGCTTAGCTGAGCTGTCCTGTCTTGCACAGTTTTCGCTTCGCGATGTTGCGTATCATAAACCCCGAGTTTTTCAACAGACGCAGATCTTGCTGCGCTCTGTGTGATTGTGAACTCGTGATTGTGAACTCAGGTCCATTCCTTGCATTTTGCGGCGACCATTCTTTGTTGCTGCTTCCGCTTGTCTTGCGCTTAGCTGAGCTGTCCTGTCTTGCACAGTTTTCGCTTCGCGATGTTGCGTATCATAAACCCCGAGTTTTTCAACAGACGCAAATATTGCTGCGCTCTGTGTGCTTGTGAACTCGTGATTGTGAACTCAGGTCCATTCCTTGCATTTTGCGGCGACCATTCTTTGTTGTGTTTCCTTCCATGCCGCCACGCTCCCAAGCAAAGCATGCGGCTTTGGCTGCAGCTGCAAAGGGCTCTGCAGACATACGGGATGCCCTGCATGGAAATGTCACTGCGATGCCTCCTGTTATCACGATAGATGCAGATCTCGAAGCAGCGCCTTCCAGTCGCAAGAAAGCACGGTTCACTTCTCATCCTCTTCCGTCGGAAGGACATCTTGACATCCGTGCAGCCCTGGAGCATGGACATGCACTCACACGCACCGCACTCAGCCCGAGGTCATTTACCGCTGCACAAGAAGAAGCTCTACTTCATTGGGGCGCAGACTCTTTTGCGGCAACGTGTGCTGCATGGGCGGGTATGGGTGCAGATGCTTCTCCCTTGGTGCTGCTGGCAAATTTCCACCTGATCCCCCCCCGTGTTGTTGAGTTGTTCGGCTTGTCAGACAACGGAGATGGCAACCATGTGAATACTACGCGAAGCTTCCTTCGCGTTGCTTCCGCTTGGTGGCGTCTCCAACGGTCCGAACTTCCTGCTGAAGGAGATGGCAAAGCGAAAGAGGACTTTGTAGATGCAGCGGTGGCTTTTGGTGATACGAGGCGTATCCTGAAAATACGTCCAGAATGGTTGGACAAAATCATGGCCGGACAGAAAACTTTGGAGATTCGTGGCTCCAAGTGTCCCCACACCGGCTGGGTGTCTATTGCCTCGACCGGACAAGGCATGATTCGGTGCAGGGCGAAATTGGGCCCGAGCCATCCTCTCACAGAAGAGGAGCACAGGCAGCATGCTGTAGCAGTACGCTCCATGGGCTATAAGAACCCGTGGGCATGGCCCATCGAAGCGTTGGAGATTGTCGAGCCACCAATCCGAATTCCACCTCATGTTGCCCGCGCAGCAGTCCAATGGATTACTCGTGAGCGTTGGGAAAAATTGCACGCGGAGGCTACACTCACAGTCGAAGGCCCAACAGCGGCCACCGACGCAAATGCCAATGTGTGAGGGCCCTTGTGAGGGTTCCCGTTGCGAAAGCAAAAAGCTTTATACATGTAAGTATCGCAGCTCCAAACTGTGGGACTGATTTTTAGTTGGCTTCGCTTATACTGGCATACTCTTTTGTTTCGCGGTAGTTTGCTTTGCAACGCAACGCTGGAAAGGATGTGTGGACTACGGTTGGCCGGTCCTGTGTCCTTTTGAATTGTTTTTGTTTTGGCATCCTCAAAAATTTTTGGCTACGGTCCGAACCCTAGAGGCGATGAAAAAGTGGTGCTGCGTGCTTTGTTGTACTCGTTACCCACACAGCCAAACGACTATTCCGAACCTAACCCTTCTTTGCTGCTGTTAACTTCTTTCCTGACTTATTTTTTCGTGCTCTGGCTCAAGTCTTGGTTCCATGGCGTCATTTGCAGACCTGGTCCACCCACTGCCTCTGGTAGCCTTGCCTTTGCTCGTCATCGCCTTGGAGCGCGGTGGCCCGTCAGGCTTCGCCCGTGAAGCAGCCTCTTTACTGAGGCAGCATGATTTTGCAGTCCCGCCCGACCTGATTCTAGACAACATCCTGGCCAAGTTACAAGCGGGGTTGCTGCTGCCACGTGAATCCAATGTGCCAGTTGATGTGCCATGCAATGTTGTTGGGTGCCCTGATTGTGGGGTGGTGCTACCGCCTGGTACAATCCACGAAACCCGCGTTCTGCAGTGGCCCGGTGGTTTCAAAACAGGAACCTATGAGCAGAAAAGATGTGAACGCTGCGGCTGTGTCTTCCTTTCGTGCTGGATGCGTAGCCCAGCAGGAACTCTTTCGGTGGTGTCACCACCAGAGATGTGTTGCTTTTGGCTGCTCGTCAACCACCCTAAGACCACCACCTTTTCTTTTGTTGCAACCAGTTTGCTGCGGCACTGCACAAGTTTGGTGGTGAGGCTTCGCGCCACTTTTTTTGGCATTTGCCAATTCTTGGGCGACGTGGAGGGCCATCCTACATTTCCCCAGCTTCGTGGACAGCTTGAGTTTGGTTGGGTATACTGGAGAGTGTGTACACTTCTGTGGCCGGACACGGTGTTACGCAACGAGCTTGTTGCCCTACAATTTCAGTTAGCTCCGCGACCTCGCGGCCCCGCAGATGAATGCCTCCAGATGCTCGCAAGGCTGCTCCGCCGCCGGCATTTACATGTCTACGCTCGACTGCACACTTGCTCCGTTTGTGTGCAAATTCCCAGTGTTGCAGTTGATGGCAAAGTTTCCTTTGCAGCAGCCCTGTGCAGTTACATGGACGAATCTGTCATCCAGCACCCGCTGGTGGATCAAGCCGTTCCCTGTGGCTGCTTGGCCTTTCCTGCATTGGGGCGTCGTGCATGTGCCCGACATGCCGGGGCGTCAACGTTGGCACCGGCAGATGGCGACCCAAGGCCCGCCGCTGCACCAACCCGGTGTCCTGCGGAGCATGCGCTCCAAAGGCTGCTTCGCGATGATGTTTGGCATCATGCTTGTGACCATTGTGCTCTTGCCTTGGTGTCTGGCGTCAGCTTTTGGACTTGCGGGGACTGCAACTATGACCTTTGTGACGCATGTTACCGCCAGAGCCGCCCCGAGGTACAGGTGCCTCCGATAGCAATTGCCGGCGGGCCCCCCGCTGCTGGTCCGTACGTGCTTCCTCCAACAGTGGACTCAGAGGATGAAGACGACAACCCATGTGGCATTGTGAAGAAATTAGCTACAACCTACTACCGCCGACAGGGCGGGGTCGTGACCGCCATGCTCGCTTGCGGCAGAGTAGTCAACATACGACCACTATTTGGCAAAGAAGGGTGTCGGCAGGTCACATGCTTGCTTGGAGAAGTTTATGCTCACCGTGGTAGCATCAGGTACATCATCTACGACAACGCGTGCAAGCTGGGCCGGTTTATTCGCAAGCGTGCTGCCCGCACTGGAACCATGCAACAATTGGCCCAGTGCAGATTCGTTCTGGATCGGTGGCACCGGTCGAATCACACTGCATGCTTGACACCGGAGCATCGCTTGTACATGCCAGAGGTTGACATCGACAGCCATCCACCGCTGGCCCATTTGAATAGCTCGTGGAACGAAAGTTGGAATGCCTGGTTGGACAGGTTCGTTCCCCCAGCTCGGTCCATGAGTGCCGCGATGCTCGAAGTCTATGCCCTGCTGCTGGTGGATCTTTGGAACACACATGTTGTTCCACAGGGAGGAACTGCCCCGCCAAGTGGTCTGGCCCTGCGGCCACGTTTGAAACGCCGGCCAGCGCCACCTTAATTAGGCTTTGTTCTGTAGCGGAATCTGTACGTATAGCTGCTAGCATAGCTTAATTGTTCATCTCCGGTTTCAAAAAAGCGGTTGTTCTGCTCCGTGTTCTTGCTTTCTTGGCTTTGTTTTTCCTGTGTAATTGCCGTCTAGGCTCTAAATTTCATTCCATTTTCAGCACGCTTGACTGTAGACACTGTAGAATTTCGGTTCTTGTGCAGCACCCTAGCGATTACGTCTTTCAGTTCCGTTGCCTGCGCCATGGAACAACGCCGCAGGTGGGCAGACATCACGGACGAAGAAGTGGACACCTTGTGGGCCGCCGCCCCCCGCGCTGCAGGCTTGCCCCGCGCTGTAGCGCCGCGACGGCCGCGCCGTCGTCCACCGCGTGCCGCTCGCCAGCAAGCGCACATGACAGGAGCAATCTATGGCAACCTCTTGCGCCTCTATGTTTGGGTCGTTGCGACGGGGAGCCCAGATGTAACTTTGCGGCAGAATCTGCAAGTGTATTTGCAGCAGCACCATTTGCCCAACTATGCAGCACCCTTTTGGGTCTGGGTATGGGTTTTCCACTTGAGCCACGTCTAGCAGATGTCTTGAGAGCGGAAGCCCCTCAGAGCGAACTTGCTTGGAAGTTGTACAGACTCTTGTGGCCACGCAACGTGCGTGCAGAGGCTTAAAATGCGTTGCCAAGCCAAAGGTTTATCGCCCAAATCAGAATTTGAGATTTCCTACGTCTTTTCACTTTGTTCCCAATCGCATTCTGGCATTTGCATTGTGCTTGGCCTGCTGCAACCGGCAACCGCTACAGTTCACCAGTGTTGCCTGTGAAAAAAAAGCGGCTATCAGTTTGCGTCAGGCCTTGTGTCTTTCAGTCTCCCAACTTTTGTTTGCTGCAGCTTAGTTTTTCACTTACTCGGATTTGGCTTGTTCTTGTCTTGCAGTCTCCGCAGTTTCGTGCCCCGGCGCGGTCGGGTTGCCTTCGTTGCGACATGGCCGCGGAACAGGTTCGCCGTGCTTTCCAGGACGAGACTGTCAAAACCGAGCTTTTCCGACTCTTGGAGGCAGAGCCCTTCGCTGAAGGTCTGCTGTTGGAGCACTATCCGGAGCTGCTGCGGGAATGGCGCGCAATTTCTGATGCCATGCAAGTTCCGTGGCAATATGTCATGGTCTGCGAGCTCTCGCTTGCATCGTTTTGCAGCCCCACTGCCGTGCTCTTTCCCTGGAACACCTTGCGGGTGTATCCCGTTCTTTGGTGGTTCCTTCTTCATCCTGGGGCATTCAACACCAGTGGCGTCATCCGGCTGTACTCCGAGGTGTGCGGGGAAGAAACTTCTAAAAGTGCGTCGGCGTGTTTTGAATACAGACTTGTTTTGATCAGGTTTGGCACCTCTTGGAGCAGGACATCAATGGCGCTCGCGCGCAATTGCGTGATCAATGGCAGGGCCAAGGTAACCAGCGCAACCCTTTTGCTGGGTCGGTCAGTGCCACAAGTGGCTCCGGATCCTTGGAAGGCGAGGGAAAGCTGATGGCGCTGCCTCAAAACCTCTCCCGCAGCTGCGGCTTCCTACCCGAAGGCCAAACGCTGTTTTCCATGTTGGATCAAATCTCATGCCGTATTCTTCGTGACGGGTTCGGGTTGTTCTGTTCAGGCAAGCGGCTGCTGCAATGGCTGAAGAACGAGGGCGCCATTAATGAGTCCATCGTCGTGGAGTTGTTTGAACGCAGTCGGTGGAAGAGGCCCCGTGCACGTACATGGCAGCTCCGTTTCTATTCTCGGAGTTTTTAGTTTTACCATTTCTGGTCTGTGTACTTGTCGCATTCGATTCCTTACAGCCAGCCTGACTGTTCTTGTTTTTGTTCTTGTTCTTCTTCTTCTTCTTCTTGTTTTTGTTCTTCTTCTTCTTCTTGTTGTTGTTGTTGCTGCTGCTGCTCAATCTTTCTCCTTTGGTGTGGTGTGCTTCTGCGATGACCACAGCATCTGCCCGTAGGTCAACCGTGAACGCAGAGCGGACTTTCGTGGTCTCCTTCCCGTTCTTCCTCGCCTCTGGCGCCCTGCACATCGAGGACGTGTTGGAGCTGTATGTCTCCGGCGATCCGTTGGGGATCCGAGGGCGCCTTGGTCTGTTCTATGCCCGGGCGACTTTCAAACGAGCCCGGGAGGTTGAAGCGGCGGCTGCAGCGATTTCAGCGGAGAGGCTGCGCCCTTGGGTGTGGGCAATGGGACCGTTTCTGGTGTGAAAGGTTTTTCTCAATGCAGGAAAGCTTCTATGTTAAGGCAGCAGTAGTGGACTCTTTCTTGCTTGCAGCTGTTCGGCGACATTAAATGTGTACCGATAAAAACCATTGTAAGTCCGTTGGTGGTATGTCTGCAAGTCTGTTGAAACTTTGATTCTCCGCGGGGGTACGTATGCCCATTGTTCGGCTTTAGTTCTGCCTTGTACATCAGCCGGTACACTAATCTGCTTTCGCTTTTTGGCTTCTGCGTCCAGTCGCGAATGCCTGTCCAGGTATGGTCTCGAAAAACGTCTTCGGGAACGTTTTGCCCGGGCCTGGCGCGCACATGACCCTTTGCATGCTGCCCCAGCGCATCTGTTCGAGGACCATGCGGGCTACCAGTGGCGGGTCTACACCCTAGCACCCGAGGCCTTGCGAGACTTCGAAGCCCGCTTTGATTATCACACTCAGCAGCAGGAAGCGGCACACCTGCAGCGATTGGCGGAAAGCCACTTTCATTCCAAAGCAA